AATAATCCACTAAATCCCATAAACATGACACACGATTAAATGAGCATATATAACTTATTATGTTAATAACTTTTTAATAAATAATGAGCGACGGGAAACGTCAGTGGCTTTAAACTTCTTAAGGGTCAAGGTCAAGATCAAAATCAGTCGGAAGTCATTTGGGGCTGACTGTGTAAAGGTAAACATTTACCTAAATTTAAAAAATTGAAAAAGTTATTCTCGATGATTCCATAGAGAGAGTATTGTAACATTAATAAAAAAGAAAACGAAATATACTTTCATCTAGCTATTACGAGGTGGGAACGAGAGACTTACCAGCTATGATCGATTATGTACTTAATTGCACAAAACAAAAAACTCTACGCTTTGTCGGTTACTCGATGGGTGCAACCGTATTATTTACTTTACTATCTATGAAACCCGAATACAACACAAAAATCAAATTGGGAATCTACCTTGGTCTACCTATTGCTGGGAAAGAAATACCTTCTATAATTCAATTTGTACATGATGTAATACCAAATTTTAAGATAAGAAAATGAAAAATAATGGGAGATATATTTTAGACATAAATTCTATATTAATATTATTCTAATAAGATAATAAATTGTATTAGCAACATTACTTCAATTATATATATTATTAATATATAAAAACAATTATAATATTAATAACAATTATTGAAGTTATGTATGCGCTTTAAATAAATAATTGACTGATATAGAGAAATAGTTTTTATTTTTAATGTTATTAATTTCAAATTTTCTTCTTTATGTGTTATTATATTCTTTTTGTAAATATTATATAAATGTGATTAATTATTATCAAAAGGTGTTTTACTTTAGACTAAAATCTTCAATACTGTGAATACATTGATCATAAATATATTGATTTTTGTGTTATTTGTATTATTATACTACTACTATATTGTGCATTATAATAATTGCGTATTTACTTCTATTATGCTATTATTTTATTAATGATTGTAAAAAATTATATACATATATTTAGTTTATTGTTATATTTTGTAATATAATATAATAAGGTTACAATTTTTTGTGTATATTTTTTATATTTGCGTTTATATTTGTTTATTAGGAATTTTTTGACGTTAATGAAATATATGAAGTAGCCTCCTTATCATCAACGACCATTACAATTGGAAGAACACTGTGTGTAGATAAAGCAATTACTCAGGCTATCTGCATTGCAATATTGTCTTCAGGCTTTGGATCCGATCCAGCACAATTTAACACTGTATATCATACACATCTTATTTAATATAATTTTGCTAATTGTAACATTGCCATTGTTTTTATATCTTTTAAGAACTAAAAATTATATACTAATGTTTATTTTGTAAATTTATATTTTATATTACACAACAAATCAAAATTGTTTTTAATAAATTCATTGCAGACAGCATTACCCGAATTATTTTCGCATGTTCCGGCCGGAAGTTCCGTGCAATTGTTACACCATTATTAACAAAATATGATTACAGGTGAGTATACTTTTTTTCTTCAGACATTTAATAATATAAAGTATTATGTTAATCATAAAAATGTGTACGTTACAACACAAATGTTGTTTTGTCTAAATGTCTAATTGTTATTTATTAATATTATCAGTTTTCATTTTTACTTTTTCTATTATCTTTTATATCTCTATTAATATTATAACTGTTCTAGTAATAATTCTTTTAAGCACACATTATTCATTGCGTAATATTTTATTATATTTAAATTAAAACAAAAATTTGCAAATATGTACCTTTTAATTTAAATTCCATTTTTATATAGATAATTAGTATTAATTGCTTTCTTTCAACTTATTTTGAATTACAAGATCTTTAAAAATAATTTCTAATACTGTTATAAAAGATAGATAACTCCTGAAATCTTCTCCAAATTATCTTTATTACATAATTAAATTTCATGATATTTTACATGTTACGATCATTAAAAACCTTAAACCCTTCTTTAATATGTCTACACATATCGGTTTAGTAGAAAGATATGGTTATCCCGCCGAGGAGGATTGCGTCATAACGGAAGATGGTTATAACTTGGTAATACACAGGATGTCATGAAGTCCTTTATCTAAAGATCAGAAAAAAAGTTGTGTTTCTTCAACACGGTCTTGTGACTCTCATATGCACATCTAATACCTGGATGTTCTTTGACCCTGGAAAAAACCTTGGTGAGAAATTATCAATAAATGATGCGACATTAATTCTTTCAGCATACCGTATAAATGCGCGAAAAGTATTTTTTACTTGCTGTTCGAATTTTGCGCATTGTGTGTATTTATTTGAGTTTACGTGTATTTATCTCACTGTTTCCTTGATAATTAGTTGATATAGAAGTCAAATATAAGCGTCAACTTGAAAAAGTCGTTTTATTCATTAAATATCTGAGATTAGGTCAATATAAAAAAATACGTGTATCTCTTAGATTTTTGAGTTTAACAATATATTTTAAGGTAAATCATTTGCGGAGTTGTGACAGATTCTTTGTTAATTCAATTTACATAGTAGTTACTTCAAAAATATATATAATTATAATATATAATTATAAATATATATAATTATAGTTACATATTATTTTATGTTTTAGCATTTTTATTGACTGATCAAGAGTATGATATATGACTTTTGAGAGGAAATTATTATTGCAGATTACACATAAAAACGTCTCCACGAGAAAAAATACTTTTGGCAATTTAGCATCTTATTTTACAAGTATTATTTAAAAGAAATATTTTTTATTAATTTTGATATTTTGTCATATCGATATTTGTTTTAAATCATTTTGATATACTTAATCTTACTTTTTATTTCTTCCATTTTATTCATTTAAGGGCGTTTATTAATTTAAGAGTTTTCTAAACAAAAAATTTTAAATAAAATTGACTTATCTTTAATAAAAAATATGAAGACTTATAATACTATTATATATATATATGTATTATGTATATATATATATATGTCGCGCATATTCTCTGTATTAAAAAAATAATTAACCGTAATTAAATTAATAAATTAACAATTATTCATTAATTGAGCAATATTGAAAAGCTATTGTAATAAAAGATGAAATAAAATATGATTTCATCATCTATCTGTCACGAAATAGATAAGAACGAGAGACTACCAGCTAAAATAAAAAACTACGCTACATCGGTCACTCGATGGGATCTATCGCATTTTTTTATTTTACTATCCATAAAACCCGAATACAACGCAAAAATAAAATTGGGAATCTGCCTTAGTTCGATCGCCATTTGGAAAGAAATATCTCCTCTATTTCAATATATTGGTAGTGAAATAGCAAATATATATTAAAGTAAAGAAATAATAATCAAAATTGCTTTTTAAGGGGGTATTCTAGTCTAGAGGCCAAATTTTTATGCTATTTTTGCGAATTTTTTTAAAAAAAAGTATAAAGTTTTTGGGATGGGGTTTTTTCCTACATATTTATACATATTTGAAGCATGTTTCAAAATATTTGTATTTAAAAATAACTATAAATAAGCTGTATACAATATATACTGAGGTCATGAAAAAAAAGGATTGGTCCACGGTCCATAATTCCGGCTGTTCTGCTCATTTAAAACAAAAAACTCAAAGAAATTCTTAATTAGTATAAGTTTGGCTATATCTGGTACCAGAACATAAATAAAATATTACAAATTTAAAAAGTGACACTAATTTGAAAATTAATTTTAGACTTTTACCATTTTTTTTCAACTTTAAAGGGTTGTAAAAATAAAAAAAAAACATATTTTGACTTGCTCGAGATAGGGACTATAGCCACGCATATGCTGAAGATGTGTGCACAAGCCCGAATTGATTGGTTAATTAGTTTTCGATATATTATGGGTACCAATTTGAAAAACGTGGTTTCGAAAACAACGCGTTTAAAATTGTTTGTACTGATTACATAGATTGAGACCACTCTCTATCAAGTATTATGGCTGGTATTCATAAGTCGGTTTTTATTTTAAAGCCGTCTTAAGTAATATCTTAAGATGCTAATACGGCTCTGTTATTGGCTTGTAACATCTTAAGACTATAGGTACTTAAGACGATCTCAAATATAAGAATCGATTACGAGTACCAGTCTATAACTTTGTTAATTTTGCAAATCGGACTGAATCCTTTTGCAGACATATTTTCCATATCAAATACTTGCAAAATATGTAAAAAAAAAT